GGTTAGTTTTGTATTCTATCCTGGACATTTTGGCTATTATGTTAGAAGACACTAGATTCTGTGTAAAATTTTTATTTTAATAGGCAATTGCTCTGTTTAGGTTTGGCATGCGGGTCCTGGCCTACTTTTGCAGGCTGTAGTTGCAATGACAATGTAATTTTCAGAGCGTATATGGTGCTATTTTCATCTGGTTGGTTTATTTCATGCCTCTGGAGCTCCGACCTGTCCTTGTCAGTGCTGCCTGAGGTGGCAGAACAAGCTCTCTGAGGCTAAGTATCATGCGAGGGAGGAGGTTTCTTGCCCGTGTAAATAATGTGTACTTCCTGGCTGGGCATTTATTGTAGCAGGATCCCTCTTGCTGGTGACTCCAGCCATGTGATGCTTTGGGTCGGGGTTTGTGAAAGGGAGAATCTCAGGACTGTGACGACACAGAAGTTTCTTGGACTGGGCACTTGTTTTCTCCTACTTTTTTTGCTAGAGCTAATTCTTCAAAAATGAATGTTATTCTGTGAGAACAAAGGCCCTTCTGGACACCAGGGACGTATCATTCTGTTTGTGCTTTCATAAGTTATATCCCAGAGATCTGAAAGATCTGAAATCACGCTAGAAGTGACCTTTTTACTGAACTGAATTAAAGTACATAAGCATGCAAGTAGTTATTTTATCTGCATCAATAGCAACAACTTCTCTCTTTTCAACTGCCTATTGTGAACATCTCATTAAAGTTATTTTGCCATCACATTGATTCATATTTAGAATTGTTATTTCCTCCCCATGCCTACCCATCATGCTTCCTCAGTGGTTAAGAGCATGTCCTCTGGAGCCAATCCAACTTGGGTTTGAATGCTGACTCTGCTGTTTATTAGTTGTGTATTCTTAGCAAGTCTGTTAACCTCCCTAAATCTCGTCTACAAAATGAGGAGAGTTATAGCTAGCATAAAGTAAAATTCAATAACAAAATATAAATTTAGTACTCAGCATAGTACCTAGCTGATAGCAAGGACTCAATTGATGTGTTGAGTTAGCGACAGGCGTCATCCTCATCACCATCATTACTATTATCATCTCCATTTATAGATAAAGAAACTGAGGCTTGGAACGGATAAGTTATTGAACCTAGGTCAGTTTGCACACTTAAATGTTAAGAGAGCTGGAATTCAAATCCAGATCTGACTTCTTCCAAATCCTTATTTCCTGACCATTATATAAGACTGCTACAAATGATTATCTTATAAGACTTGAATCTCCATGAGACCATAGTTAGTCCGTGTTCAGGATATTCAAAAATATAAGAGCAGGTAGTATACAGTTATATGACCTGGACATAGTTTATTTTCAATTAATTATTTATTATACTAGGAATATTTTCATAGAGATATCTATGCATAAACATAGAAATAACACAGGTCGTTTAACAGAAGCTGACAACCAAGCTTTGTGATAGGATGATTTTTAACCCTTTTGCCAAGAGTTGAATACTCCCCTGTATTTTATGCTTTACCAGTTTCTGAAATCTAATACATTTAAAGAGAGTATATTTTTCTTATGCCTTATGCTACTTCATTAAAACTTTAATATAATTTAGGATCCAATAAAAACTTAGAGAGATGTTTCAATTTAATGCAGTTTTCCACAAATCTCTTTCCTGTACATAAAAATATGTGGTTTCTATAATAGTTTTGCACATTGCTAAATTAATAAATGCAGATCATGTTGAATTTCTGAATTTATAATTATAGTGAAACAAAAATAATTCAAGAAGAATAATTTATGTTATTTTCCAATTAAAATAAAACTGAATTTATGACAGAGACACAAATGTTCCAATTGAATTTGCCCAATTATTAAATAAGGAAAAAATTTGCTGATGAAAAATATAAAAAAGGAAAGTTATTTTTTATTTTTTTGTGAGGAAGATCAGCCCTGAGCTAACATCTGCCAATCCTCCTCTTTTTACTGAGGAAGACTGGCCATGGGCTAACATCCATGCCCCTCTTCCTTCACTTTATATGGGACGCCGCCACAGCATGGCTTGCCAAGCGGTGCGTTGGTGTGCGCCCGGGATCGGAACCAGCGAACCCTGGGCCACCGCAGCGCAGCACATGCACTTAACCACTTGCACCGCTGGGTTGGCCCCAAAAAAGGGAAGTTATTAACTGTGTATATGTGGTTTATACAAATATTTGGGCTTCTCTTTCATGAGTTGTTTTTATGTAGTGTAGGAGGTAAATTCAGCCTTTGCTGATTCAGAGATTTCACAAAACCAACTAATGGCCATATATAAATCAAGAATATATTTATGTTTTATATTTTTGAGATAGGAATATAACATCCTCCAGCTTCTTTGTAACTTAAAGAAAAACACTCTCATTTATTACATATAGCAAATAAATGTGATATTATTTATGTGTATACACATGTACTGATTCTATGATTAAAATAAAGGGGAGGGGGCGCCCCGTGGCTTAGCGGTTAAGTGCACGTGCTCGGCTGCTGGTGGCCCAGGGTTCGGATCTTGGGCGTGCACCGATGCACCTCTTGTCAGGCCGTGCTGTGGCGGTGTCCCATATAAAGAGGAGGAAGATGGGCATGGGTGTTAGCTCAGGGCCAGTCTTCCTCAGCAAAAATAAGAGGAAGGTTGACGTGGATGTTAGCTCAGGGCTGATCTTCCTCACAAAAAAAAAAATTAAAAAAAAATAATAGAGAGATGGAGGCAAAGGTAAAAAAGAAAAAGGTCCACTGGTGATGGGAAATAGGAAGAGAAGAGAAAGAAAAAGAAAAAAGAAGAACTGAAGAGGAAAATAAGGAAAACCAGTGATGAGAGAGAGAGATGGGCAACAGGAGAGAAAATGACCAAATGAAGAAAGGATGTTGAAAAAAAGAGTCAGTCCAAAGAACAAAGGGGAGAAGGAAGTGAGATAGAGAAGAAAAAGAAAATAATTCGAAAGAAATGTGAGGGGAGAAAGAAAAACCAGATAGAAGTTTAAATCTAAGAGCATCAGAGGTCTGCTTTTACCTTGAATCTTAAAAAAAAAAACACCTAATTTTTAACTATGAAGTTGTATATTATGTATATCTTTCTTGTTATGCCTTTAATAATCTAACAGTGAGAAAGAATATATCATTAACAACACCCCTCCCCAAAAAAGCATATCAGGCATATAGAAAACAATCTGGAAATACTTTTCAGATCAATTATTTTCTTTGTATTCAAACCATAGCCTGCAGTCTTTTGAGAGCCCACCTTGAATGGGGAATTAAAGTGTCTTCTTCACTCTATTCTCTGGGCTGTATAGATTTGGCTCCCTGCATACTGTGATATCTTTGAAAAAGGAACCTTATTCTATCTTTTTATGCTTATCATCCAGAGCAATACTAGTAAATAGAAAACACTCAATGAATACTGCAATGAGTAAATTAGAGTATTACATATAAAAGGATGAAATACTGATCACTAGCAGAAACTTTACATAAGATAAAGTGAGCATTTCATTTCATAAAAATGATAACATCAAACAAGGAATCAATTTTATTTCCTTATATGGACTAGATCTTGGTGAATGCTGCAGAAGGAACAAAGTAAAACATATTTGCTGGCTTAAAAATCCAAATCTCAGTAGTTTTATCCCATATTTGTTCTATGCCTCTAGTTTCATCAACTAGTTCATGCTATGAAGAACAAAAGAAATAAATTTTTTTTATATATATGAGCACATTCCATGTAGTAGTGGAAGGTGACACAGATGAAACTGATGCACCGTCTCACTTGGTCAACTCTCAGGCTGTTCTCTCCAGGAAATTACAACCAACTTCCTCTCCACGTGTGCTGAAGTACCTTATTCTAACCCAAATAACTACATTTGGATAGCCATATCCTAAGTCCACCTTCCTTTCCTACTACTGCTCATCCCCTATGAGTGTTCCTTAGGGCACCAAGCTAAGATGGCATAAGCCTGTGTTCACTAAGTTTTCCATTAAATATCAATTCCCCAAATTCTCCAGTCAAAGAGCACAGAAAGGAGGGATGGATTTAAATTACTACATCTTCAGATTCTTTATCTTATTAACTGAATTCCTTTATTGTTATCTCGATTTTGGGGGTTTATTTTTAGCTTATATTAAACATGCTAGTTAAGTGATAGTTATTTTCTGGTAATACTGGCTGAATGATATCTAGTTTAAATTTTATTTTTAAGACCAAGTGAATTGTCCGTTAATCTAGTCAGTGCAAAGACTACTATATTTTCAAAGGACTGTAACTAGTGGAAAAATGACTTATGTAAAGCCAAACAATTATTCTGATTCTTTTTAATCTGGACTTATTTTCTGAGTGTTATTTTAATGACAGTTACATGTGGTTATTTTGACAGATGGATTTATTCTAATTCTATTATTATTAAGCAGGTTGAATTTTTTTTTTTGTTAGGAAGACTAGCCCTGAGCTAACATCCGATGCCAATCCTCCTCTTTTTTTTTTTTTTTTTGCTGAGGAAGATTGGCCCTGAGCTAACATCTTCCTCTACTTTATATGAGATGCCGCCACAGTATGACTTGACAAGAGATGTGTTGGTGCGCGCCCAGGATCTGAACCTGCAAAGCCCGGCTGCTGAAGCAGAGCACGCACACTTAACCACTTGTGCCACTGGGCCGGCCCCCAGCTTGAAATTTTTTGAACTGGCTCATGAACCAGTTTTGTGATGTATCTGGGTATAGTTTCATTTAGAATGAAACTGTTTTCTTGTTTCATTTCTCGTTGATCTCACTTTCCATTTCATCAGGGTCTTTAGAAAGTGGCCAAGTGGGAGTCAATAACAAATGTTTCTATTTAGAACCATAAATTTTACACTGGCTGTAAATCATATTTAAATTTGCTTATATGAAAGCAGAAAGTCAGTGAAGCTAATAAAACACTTATTTTTCTTTCTCTTCATCAAATAAATTAATTTTTGTGAACCTACTATGTGAAGAGCACTGATCAAAATTCCATGTTAATTTTGCAGGTGATGGAAGTCAAAGGACAAATGATCCATGTCCCAGAATCAAATTCCATTTTGTTCTTGGGCTCTCCCTGTGTGGACAAGTTGGATGAACTCATGGGCCGAGGGCTGCACCTCTCAGACATCCCTATCCATGATGCCACCCGAGATGTCATTTTGGTTGGCGAGCAGGCAAAGGCCCAAGATGGCTTGAAGAAGAGGATGGATAAATTAAAGGCAACTTTAGAAAGAACTCACCAGGCCCTGGAAGAAGAGAAAAAGAAAACAGTGGATCTTCTATATTCTATTTTCCCTGGCGATGTAGCCCAGCAGTTGTGGCAAGGGCAGCAAGTGCAGGCCAGAAAGTTCGACGATGTCACCATGCTCTTTTCAGACATTGTTGGCTTCACAGCCATATGTGCCCAGTGTACTCCCATGCAAGTAATCAGCATGCTGAATGAACTGTACACCAGATTTGACCACCAGTGTGGATTTTTGGATATTTATAAGGTAATGGGGTTTAGTTACTTATATATAAATATTTTTGATAGCAAATTGTCATCTTAATTAAATTGCAAAAATACAATCTTCTTTTTCTATTTAAACTTGATAGTAAATGGTGGATATCTCTTTAATTTAGAAATATTTATATAGAATACAAGTATTTCTGCTTTATGAGTAAACTTTCTTTGTGAGTTGATTTATACTATTGACATAGGTAACTGTGAATCATGATATTGCTCAGTAAGGAAAAATTCTGTGCAGCTAGTCCTCTCAATTCATTATCATTAAAAAATTAAACTTGTTGATTTCTTAGAGAGCAAGATTCCAATATAAACTAAGAATTTTATGTTGGCAATTAAAAAGAAACAAGTTATGTTAAAATATGCATTGCACTATCAGTTAAATCATAGTTAATCAGAATTTTGCACTTCATTGTCAGTTAGGTGAGGTCCCTCTAATTCTGAAAGAATATGTGTAAATATTCTAGCTGTTGCCAAAATGACCAGTGGTTTTTGGTGGAAACACCTTAATTTTCCAAGCTACATAATGGAAGAGCTTTGAAAATGGTTACCCTTTGTCAGTCTGAGATGGTAAACTCCTTATTAATTTCTTATTAAAATCATCTTGAGTGATTCACCCCCATATCTACCTAATGAATAATTCTGTAACTTTACATAAAATTTCACATGTATTATACAATGTCAGGGTGCATGGCTTTTTTATGTGAAGGACAGCAATTACTTTTAGTATAAATAATCAGTAATGAACTTCAGGTTTTTATTTTCTTCTTTACAAATCCATCTAGACACTACTTCTCTTTATAGTATGATCTGCACATAAGCAGATTCAGAAAGAACCTGTCTGTTTCACACTGTAGTTTGATATTATGGTCCAGAGGGTGTTTTCATTAAGGTGTATCTCCTTTAGAAAAAGGTGTTCACTAGTTCCATTATGTATGACATACAGCCAATGTTAAATATTTTAGTAAGTCTATTCTGAGTGCTAAACATTCAGTCTGAAGTACATATGAGGGATTTGCTTTGTTATACAAAATAAGAGTTCTTATAAATTATCTTTGACTTCCTTATAATCTTTTGTTAAGTAATTTATGGTAGAGACAGCCAAATGTTTGATTCTAAACCAGAGAGATAGCACAATGAGTCTGTCACTGTTTTACCCAGTCGTTTTCAGAAGAGAGAGCAGATTGGCCTGAATCTGCCAGCCCTTTTCCCCCCCAGACTTTGAGCACTATTGCACTCGTCTCTGCAAGCACCAATCTCCTCCTTTTAAACCACTGATTTGCTGTGTTAGCTTCCTCCAGCTAAAGTAGTCATATGTTTTTTTGGCCCTAAGTTCATGCCACTAAATGAGAATAATAGATAGATAAATAGATTGTCTTCTGCTAAAACATGGGAATCCCTGATTTAAATATAAGTATCAGTTAGGTTTTAAGCAGAGAAGAAATGTGGTATCTTCTGAGGCTACGAAAACAATTTTAAGGTTTAAAAATGTAATTAGATTTCACGGACATCAATCAAGTCTCCCTTCTCTTGAGATAAGCTAGAACATCTCACAGAAAAAGAAAATCTGTGGGACTATCCTGTATGACCCTCAAATTTTCCTATATATTATTAAACTGGACAGTTTCATATAGTTATAAATAATTATCAGCAAGTTTTAACTTACAAAATGCATCTACTCTTTCTCCAAGACTCAAGACTGTACTTTCCATCTTTCGTATATATATTGAAAAATAAAACAATTGTGGTTCACAAATTCTCTTAAATTGAACTTGAAATTTTAGCACTAAATTATACGTAAAGTAATATGATTCCAGAGCCAGGTGTTTTTAACATATTTTCGATGCCAGTATGTATATGTATCTGGACTAGGTGTATAGGACAGCTTTGATGTTTACTCAGGGTTATGAGGGTTGAGTTTGGGGGATCCGGACTAGGAAACACAATATATCCTGAAGCAAGAGCAGTGATGGTATGGCCAGAGAGAGGGAAAGACAAATAAAGTGAGACTATTACCCTCGTGTAAGATAAAACTAAGTACATTATGAGAAGTATATCAGGAGGGGTACAAATTAGAAATCCTCTATCTGACCTGCCTAATTTAAGATTTCTAATTATTGTAATCATTCCAGCTTATTTTCTAGAAAATTATACAGTGCTATTTTACACCATGAACGATTTGTTAAATTTTTAATTGCTATTGGAAAAAAAATCTCAAAGGCAATAGAATTTTTTAAAGGACCATAAATCTGCTGATTTTATAAAATGAAAAAGAGTTTTGCTGGATTTAAAATATGTGTAAAATTTTGGGTGGAGTAATCATACCACAGAGAAAAATAAGGTATAGTCCACTTTTGTTTAACGTTAGAAATATGAAAGGAAACCAGGTAAAGCTGAATACCAAGTAAAACACAACTGGAGAACGAGAGGGAGTGCCCACAGGGGGCATTCAAAGTCTGCTACTCCACAGTAAGACTCCAGTCTCTAAATTTATAGTTGTCCCTCTTGTGGTCATCTTATTATTCCATGTTTTCCTATCATTAGGGAGATGATGCAGTGATGAATTACAATTCCAGTGGTAGAATTCAACTAAATTAGGCCATAATAAGAAAGTTCTGCTAAAATAATCAAACCTTCTATAAAGTAGGTTTAGGAAGAAGCTGTAGATTTTACTGTGCATATTTTAAGCTTGAGAAAATTAAAGCCTTTACAATGCTTGACTGACCAGATGTTACAGGTGTATGAATATTAAGTGAGAGCTAGGTAAGTTGAAGGCAGAATGGATTATAATTTTGATCCTCTTATAAATTAGAAAAGCAAATATTCAGTAAAAAGTCAACATAAATAAGGCACTACATACCATTTTGCCCCCTCAGATTTTATAGGGTATAGGGAATGAACAAAAGAAAGAATGAGTAATTCTAACTTTTTAAATCAATGGCATATAGATAATAAATAATAATAATGATGGCATTGGCTGTTGAAGCAAACTAACGTGGGTTTTGCCTCATTTTATACTTTTGTCTTTGGCAGGCCATTTAGCTGGAAATAAGGGAGAAGTAAGAGGAAGGATGTCTTTCTCCGTGCTCTTCTCATTGCATTAAGCCAAGGCCATAGTATCCCAGTGCTATATTAAATACACTCCATAAAGCTCTCATCTTTTCACCTTGAATCACTTTCTTAACTTCCCTTTCCTCCAGCTCTGTAACCTATAAAGTTAAGATACTAAATGTATCTACCTCATAGTTATATTGTGAGCATTTCAATGAGCTGATGTATGCAAAGTGCTTAGGACAGCACATGATATATAGTAGTAAATGTATGTGTTAGTTGCCATTATTATTTTTCAGACAGGTGTATCTGAACATATGGGGTTTTGTATTATGTGATTATTTTGTGTGTTTTTGTATGTATATTGCTACAGTGCACCCAGTGCTTTTTGGAAAAGAATAAAATGTGATCTCATTTAATCTGCTAGGGCTAACATGTGGAGTTGTTACATTATCTCCATTTTCAGATAAAGCAACTAAGTTTCAGAGAAGTTAAATAATCCGGATAATACAGCTAATAAATCAGAATTTGAACCAGGACTTGTCTGATTCTAAAGCCTACAGTTTTTTCACAAGTCTGGGCTGTGGTATAGACAAAGATCAATAATAAAAACAAAAATTGGAAACTGTTTCAAAACTATGTCACATGATCAATAACTATAGTTATGCTGTCAAGTGATGAGAAAAGCTCTATGACCACCTTACCCAAATCTACCCCATCCCTTCCAGTTGCAAATAGTTCGGAGTTCAAAGAAGCTGCATCTTTAAAAGTTGGGGACTCTTTCATCTGCCACCCTCCCTTTTTGTCCAAAACTAGCTAGCATCTTCTCCCTTAATTCCTGTTATGGAGAAGTAGCATACCAAGAAGGGAACAGTGGGATCAATGATCCCAAGTGCAGGCAATAAGGGGTATAATTTAAAAATAAACTGAGTAAGAGTTGATGTTTTTTTAATCACCTTGCCCAGGCAACTTGGAAAAATATTAGTAATAAAATACTTTCCTTTGTTGGAGTAGGGGTAGAGGGGCATTCCCAACACAAACCCCAAACTTGGTTTGCAACTGTTGGTGAAGGTAAACGTTGAGTATCAGTGTCAGGCTTGAGTTGGGGAGAAGGGGTAGAAAGGCAAGATGGGGCAGTTGGGAAACGCCAGGACCAGAATTCTGTTAGATCAGGGAATCTGATGTTGAAAATCTGAAAAACAACAACACAGAGTTTATATTCACAAGTGAATGCAAGTATTCTAAGTCCACGTGGAAAAGCTGAGTCTAAAAAAGTAGTAAGGTATAGGAATCTAGGCTCACTCTTAGGGGAGACAAGACCTTGGGACTGGGCACAAGGGGGTTGTATTATGGAACTGAAAATCAAGCAGCAAGTATGGAGAAAGGCACCAGAACAAACTTTGATACAGAACCAGAGTCATTTCCCTGGCCAGGATCAGACTTACGGCCAGAGGATGCATGGGCCCCCCTCTAGAGAGTCAAGGGTAACCAAATACGGCAACTGCATCAAAGGATACAGAGATGTCCGCTGAGCTTTTAAATGCTAAAACAGGAATTAGATCCACAGAAATGCTCGAATTAGCAGGTTTGTTCTATCCATTCTTGAAAATGAATAGAATACACTTGGGGACACTCTTGGCATTAATGCAATTTGCAAATTGTTAGATACCTTGAGTTCTTCTGAAAATCTCCAAAGACAAATGGAAACACTGTGTTGACTTTGTAAGCTCCAAACTTCCATAAACACAATACTAATAAAAAGGGCTAGAAAAACCATTCAGATCGTGTACATTGTACTTAGTTTATATAAGTAGATTATTCTGCTTTAGTCTCCTGTTAACTACAGACTCTTATTAACTATAACTCCTTAACTGCTTTGTGGAAAAAAGTCTATACATTTTAAAAATAAGTACGGAATGCAGAGGTAAACAGTGA